TTGATGGTAATACCACTGCCTTAGATATCAGATCCTTATCTTGTTTACCTTGCTCCTTTGGTAAATCAGTTTTCAGATTCTGAGCTACATATGGCTTTCCTTGATTCTTGGATTGATTCAATGTTGGTGAAGATAGTGGCGTTCCTTTGGATTCGATGTTCTCAGATGTAGACAGTTTGCTTTGCACTTGCTTTACTTCTGATGTTTCTTTTGKGGTAACGGTCTTTGTTGATGATGATACCGCTGCCTTAGATATCAGATCCTTATTCGGTTTACCCTGATCCATTGATAGAACAGTTTTCAGATTCTGAGCTACATATGGTTTGGCTTGATGCTTGGATTGATTCAATATTGGTGAAGCTAGTGGCGTTCCTTTGCTTTGCACTTGCTTTACTTCTGATGATTCCTTTAAGGTAACGGTTTTCGTTGGTGGTAATACCAGTGCCTTAGATATCAGATCCTTATCTTGTTTACCTTGCTCCTTTGGTAGATCAGCTTTCAGATTCTGAGCTACATATGGTTTCCCTTGATCCTTGGAGAGAATTATTGGTGAAGCTAGTGTCGTTTCCTTAGATTTGAGGCTCTCAGATACAGACAGTTTGCTTTGTACTTGCGTTACGTCTGATGTGTCTTTTGCGATAACGGTCTTCGTTGATGATGATACTGCTGTTTTAGATGTCAGATCCTTATCGAATTTATTTTGATCCTTGGGGAGATACGTTCCCGGTGAAGGTAGTGGCGTATCCTTAGATTTGAGGCTCTCAGATACAGAAAGTTTGCTTTGACTTTGCTTTACATCTGATGTGTCCTTTGAGATAACTTTATTCGTTGAAGATACCGTTCCTTTATGTATAAGATCGTTATTGAGATTGCCTTGCTCTTTTGGTGAATTTGAGTTCTGGGAAGATAAGATATCAGATTTCGCTGAGGATAGTGCCGCATTGTTAGTTTTTAGAATCTCAGGTGAAGATAACTTGGTTTGCTCCATCTTTGTTGCAGAGCCTTGAATAGAGTTGCTGCCTGATGTAACACTGTCTATTTTACGTGTTTTGGGAGACTTTGCTCTTCTAAGTGTATTTGATAAGTATTTGGGCAGTTTATCGGTCAGCAGGGATGGATCTTCGTCATTTCCACTTTCGTCTTCGTTAATACTGCAGTCAACAGCAGCAGGGAAATTGCAAACTCTTTTCTTTATATCAAAATACAGGCTGGATGGGCAACTTCGCAAAACGGCACGCCCACTTGCACATATGTAGAACTTACTGCATGAGTTTGGATGTCTCAGATGCACACCATTTGGCTGCGAGCTGCAAATGGATTCTTCGTCAAAATAAGTAGTGTCTTCCCAATCATTGGTGTCGAATACATCAAAGTCGAAGATATCCTCTTCTGTGTACACTAACGTTGGTGACTCTGAAGTTTCTGAGTCTTCTTCTAACTCATCGTCCAGATCTTCGGTGGTTAGAGCTGAGCTATCAAGAGATGTCGACAATTCATTATCAGCTAGGTAACTATCTTCTATGACATCTTCATCTGATTGTGTCGTCCCTATGCTACTGCCAACAGTATTGCCAAAGCTGTATGTCAATAGTTTTGGAATGGATATGGATTCTTGTTGCTGAGAGCAGTCTACAAGGTTGGGCAAGTTGCACACCTTACTTTCAATATCAAAGTACAAATTTCTCGGACACTTTCGCAGAATAGCGCGCCCATTAGCACAGACATAAAAGTTGGCACAGGACATTGGATCCCTTAGATATGCTCCACTTGGGAGAAGGGCACAAGGCGCGCTTTTGTCAAACTCTGAAACGGAATCGGCTGCTTCTACCTCTGTTGGAATCCATAAAATATTCTCCAATTTCTTACCAAGCTTTCCCACATCAGCTCGTATGGGCTTCGACAGAAGTGGGGTTTCACTAGTTGATGAATTTGTGTCTTCACTTTCAGTGGTTTCATCAATCGGATTTTCTGAGGAGCTGGTATCCTCGGTCTCAGTTTCTTTCGAAGAAGTTAGTGATGCCTCGGTAGAACTCTCTGCCGGATCAGTTTCTTCTGAAGTAGATGATTCTTCAGAACTAGTAATTAGACTGTCCGTAGAACTTTCTGATGGATCAGCATCTTCAGAAGTAGAGCTCTCAGGCGAACTAGAGCTTGAAATGGAGCTGTCAGTAGATATTGGCTCTGAGCTAGAACTTGAGCTGTCAGTAAATGGGTTATCAGAGCTGGAACTGGAGCTCTGCGTCGAGTCCTCGGAAGTAGAATCTGAGGTGTCAGTAGTTGAGTTCTCAGAATTTGAAGTTGAGCTCTCAGTCGTATCCTCAGTGTTGTCAGTAGATGAGGCTTTAGAGCTAGAGCTTGAACTCTCAGTAGATGAGGCTTCAGAGCTTGAGCTTGAACTCTCAGTAGATGAATCCTCAGAGCTAGAACTTGAACTTTCAGTAGATGAGGCCTCAGAACTGGAACTTGAGCTTTCCGTAGATGAGGCTTCAGAGCTGGAACTTGAACTCTCAGTAGATGATGCCTCTGAGCTGGAGCTTGAACTCTCAGTAGATGAGGCTTCAGAACTGGAGCTTGAACTCTCAGTAGATGATGCTTCGGAACTGGAACTTGAACTCTCAGTAGATGAGGCCTCAGAGCTAGAACTTGAGCTTTCAGTAGAAGAGGCTTCAGAGCTAGAGCTTGAACTCTCAGTAGATGAGGCCTCAGAGCTGGAACTTGAGCTTTCCGTAGATGTGGCCTCAGAGCTGGAGCTTGAGCTCGCAGTTGATGAGGCTTCAGAGCTAGAGCTTGAGCTTTCCGTAGATGAGGCTACCGAACTGGAACTTGGACTCTCCGTAGATAAGGCCTCGGAGCTGGAGCTTGAGCTTTCAGTCGACGAGACGTCAATTGTCGGTGGCGTAGGTGGGCGGAAAGTGGGTTTTGGTGGAAAGAAAGGTGGTATTGGTGGCTTATTCCACAGACCACCAAAGATGTTAAATATAATCGGCCTGTCCATGGTTATGTTTTGATTGATGTTGAACTCATTTCGAACGCCATTGCCTGCATTTTTGAGTTGAATGCTTGACTGCGGGACTTGTGCACAGTTCTGTGATTTCACATTAAATCGAAAGCCCTCAGCGCAATTGTTTCTTATTTTTCCCAGTAAGCCGAAGCATAAGTAGTATGCATGAGGATCTGCTGGATCGACGGCTTTATATCCAAATTTTTGTCCTGCACATGCATCCAAGGCGAATGCCTGCGGAAACGTCAGCAGACCTATCCACAGGAGGTTCACTAAAACGAAGATCTTAGAAAATTTTCCTTTAGAATTCAATGTGCGACTTACCCAATTGCATTTTTAATATTCATCCGGTCAAATGCGACGTGCAATGGCCGAGCATTTCCTTTTATAGCCTACGGTGCAGCAATTAGCTCAGTGCAACAATTAGCTGAAAGGCTTTCCATAGTTCGACAACTGTAACTGCCTCTTTGGAATAGTTAAGAACTATCTGCTGACAAGGTAATTATTTTAAATAAATTGCATAAGCATCACCTAACGTAATACAATGCTTGTCTTAAGAATTCTGAGGGGAATCACTGTCTGACACATGTTTCCAAATAATAGATAAGACACGCAACAAGATCTCAAAGATTGTCTCTCTCTCATTTCAGTTTCTTCCTAGTCTGTCTGAGTTGAGAAATTGTATGGTATATGCGATGAAATCTTCTGAACTGTATTATATTATCAATGTTCTATAAGAACACAATTTGTAAATCTCAAGATCATTCTATCTCTATCTTGCCCATGTATAAATATATGTAATAATGTCTCCATTTCCATTGCAATAGTTCTGAGATATTATTAGGTACAACAGATTTTATTCAATTAATATACTCCATCTCTGTACATCTTACATTCTATATTTATATTACATACAGCTCTAATTTGTTAAGGTTGTCTTTTAGTGAAAAACCTATACTGAATTATAGAAACATTATATATCATTTATAATTTTTACCTCACATAATGTCCAATACCTGTGATTCTATCTCCACCTACTTCAATCATATTCGCTCTTACAAAATCCCTTCACCAAAGCCAGGATTTATCTGATATACCTTCTAAAGATATAGTTTGAAGACTAATTTGGATACTAAATTCTTAGTATCTTACACTCTTCATCAACTTAAGTTGATATGTCCCTTGCCTATGGACTTTCTAGACATTAGATTTTCATCTGGAAAAGTACAGTTTTCAAAATAATCTTAGACTTTGTATATACTATGTATGCTTTTGTAATCTTCTTATGTACTAGTTTTTGCATATCTGTCATCTTTTTATAGTCTAATCAAAGTTCTTCTCACGTGTTGGTAATCTTGTCAAGTGCTGCTTATCATTAATAAGCTTACCTAATACGATAGTGTAATTGTCTCGTACTCGGCGCAACTTTCAGAATAGTATTCCCCCTTTCCCCTCCCCCGCCCATCCAATGCAAGCCTATCCGCAAAGAACGGTTGCCCGGTCACGATTAGTAGGTGTAGATAAGGTGTATGTGTGTGTTATCGTGTTCTTTCCATGATTACTCAAACCCATCGCACTTGTTGGTGTTGTAACTATTTATAGGTGTGGGATGGCTGAAAAAGCTTTTGGATGAAAGCACAGAGCTGCACTATATGAAGGTGTTTTAGGTCGGGCTCTTATCGTAACTTGTGTGGCTTCGAATGTACCTCGTCGAGCGCAAAGCGAATTCATTGTTGGATTTTGTTGCTCTTGGTATTCGAGCCAATAAGTTCGGCAACCAGTTCGCATTTTATCTTTTGCAGTTTTTATTATTTTTGATTTTTCTTTTTTTTTTTTTTTTTTTTTTTTGTTATTTTTGCAGCGCGAAGTTTACTTCTGGGTGGCTTTTATCTCTCAGCTGTGAGAATTAGGTTTTTTTTTATAATTTTGCACAAAATTTTTGGCAACCGGTCAACTGCACTTGCTAAACAACGTCCCCCCTACAATGAGCACTACCTGATAGTAATTTGTTTTGTTCGTTGCTCGCAACTCATTATCAAAAATCAAGTTCACGCTAATACGATCGTTTAGTTATGTTGTCTTACATACAATTAAATAGCTTAAGATAAGGCTTTGCATGTTTTTTTTGTAATTTGTTTTTATGGGCCTTAATTGATGGGCTGCCATATTAAGTAGTTAGCCAAAGAAATTAGTAATACTAATGCTATTACTATACACAAATATGATATAAGAATATGAATTAAGAGCTTTCCGAGAGCCAATTCATCTTTAAAATGTTTTAGAATATTTGCCAAAATGAGTTAGAATATACATTATACTATGTATATTCCTACTACTATACTATATAAACATATTTTTGAAATATAAATCAAGCATTTCAATTAAGATTTCTAGTAATGTAGTATATAATAGATTCTATGACTTTAATAATATAAGTTGTCTATTAATAAAACATTTAAATTTCATAAATATTTAATATATTGCTTATAAAAAAGTAAATATTTGATATATTTAATAAAATTATACAATGATTATAGATTTACAAACGCTACAGAGGACTTTGATTTTGACTACAGTTTATTTTTAAATTCTTATTAAATTCAATATCAATATTTCTTAAGATTTGAATCTAAGTATTTTGCGCCCAATGCAATTTTCTTGAATTCTACAATTTGATACAATAATTTTGAAACTATTCTCTATCTACTACAATATTCTTCGATTTCAAAAATAAACGTATTTTGCTTTGTTTTTTGTAAAACAAATATTAGTATTTGCTGGAAATTTGCATATGGAAAGAAACGGTGCAATGGATTAGAGTGGTCTCGAAACTACACTACGCCGTAAGGTGCGCTTTGGTTAATGTTCATCCGTTAGCTAACGAGACCATTCCAAACACGATAACGATCGTTGAATTTCGCACATATAAAGCTGAATAGAACGTCCATCAAAGATCCTCTCCACCCCACACCGCCCCCGTCAGCTGTCTCACAGTGGGTGGGAGGGGAGGCAATACCGTTGCACTTTTCCACTCACTAATAACTGCTTATCTTTTTGCACGCGTGATAAGCGCCTATTGTTGGGTAGGCATTAGCTTGAGGCTCGTCGAAGGCAGATTAAAACGAAACTAGTGCATTGCGAACTACACACGACTCGGAAGTCTCTTTTATTACGTTTTCAATTTATATTCAATTAGTGTTCAATTTAGAGCATTTTCGCTCTGCATTGCGTTCTGTTCACGCTCTAGGCGATTGCCGTAGGTGCGCGAGACGAGGTTCCATGTGTCCAGAAAGCGATCCATACACTGCGTAATGCATCGTTGCTCAGACCCATCCAGAGCCTTGCCGGGCCTGGAGATACACTTCCTAAAACACTTCTCCGTCATCTTGGAGAGCATCTCCTGGGCATTCGCCAAGGCGATTTGCTGCCTCACTTGAGTAATTACCTCACCATTATCATAATTTGCATCAGCCATTATAGTAGTTGATTCTATATATATGTACACTTGACAATTTTACTTTTTTTTACTCTTACAAATGTAAAAAATAATACTGAATTGTCGTCCAGCTTTTGATTTATTAATGACACCTCACCGGGTTTTCAAATTTTTATAATTCAATGTAAAAGTCTACTAAATACTCTATGAAGGAAATCAAGCTAGAAAGAGAGAACTTTCTTGGGATTACTGAAGAAGTAAATTAAGGAATTTGAATATTTGTAATACTAATTTTTGCATTAGCAGAGCGTTTTTGGAAAAGGTAACAATCTTTAATTTTGCACTTTTCGTTGGGATGGGATAGCGCACTAAATTGAAAAGACATCAACTTGGAAGACTATTTGGGTAGATCCGCAATTGATACTGCTTGACATCGAAATATAGATCTAACATATCTTGACTAACAACATATATGTTTTACTCTATCAGCAATATTATTCTCTTAAATTTAGATCTTTTGAAATAGCGAATCTTACTAGAATGAAGTGAGACTAGCATTCACAAAATCTATTTCATAGGACTTTACTACATACATATACATATACACATATACATATATACATATACATATACAGTATATAAGTATATAGTAGTACTAGTATACTCACCAAAAATATGTAGTGGAGTCTCATATTATTTAAGTGGCACCTATAATAATTTCAAGGACATCAATTGTCATATTATATTCCCCCTAATATCCAAATCCCATAAAAATCCGCATTATTAAATTGTAAGACACTTGATAAATTAAATTTATTGTTATTAGCATTAATATAATTTGTTTTCTGTTCTTTTGTTACAGATTTTCCTTTGATGTTTAATAAAGTTAAGCAGAACTTTAACGTTCGTACCATATCAAGGGATTATGTTATTTATAATTAGCATATTATATAGTTAAAAGATCTTTGCTCCTTTTGATTAGAAAAATATATTATAAAAATGATTTCTACTTATATCTTTTTATTACTATCTTTTAGTTTCTTATTTTTTTGTTGTTGGGTTTTTCTGGTTTTTCCGACAAAATGTCATTGTGTATATAAAAATAAAAACTTTTAGTTTTATTTTTAACTGCGCTTGGAGTGATCCAGTGAATACACCATGAATCATCATATAATATAGTATGTTATATTCTTTGGATTGCAACTATTTAAGAATCTTTTGAATATGTACCGCACACAAGCTGATTTGGCAGTTGGCGATATTTGGAATTTGAGCTAAGAATCAGAAAAAACTGATTCGACATCGTGAAGTATCATATCCAAATGATAATTAGAGATACAAACAGGCAGTAATAGGAGGGATCTGAATAACATGATCGAATCCTGCATTTAACTGTTTTTCCTTTGCCTGGAATTGGTTGCAATTTATATATGCAAATCGATTTCTTGATTTATGAAAACCCAGCCCAACCGCCAGAGCTTTAATACTGTAAAATAAAGTTTTGCTGCTTTTCACTTGATTAACTAGGGGCCCGCCCACTTGACCCAGGGCATTCATATTGCATTTTGACAAGAATTTCGAGTAGAAGGGGAACAGTGCACTCTACAGTATTCAAATGGACTGACCTGAATAAATAATTATGCTTTATATAAGTATTTGCTACTGATCAAAACGTATCACTTATATTTGGTTCATTTTATGTACATATACAAGATTTGATCTGATCTGTAAAAGTTTGCGCAATAGCTAAAAAGAGTATATGTGTGCAGTTGCGAAATATATATATACATGTATATATATATATATGTTTGTCTGTATATGCGTGTACATTATATACAAGTGATAGAGTTCAGCTAGTTAGACATAAGTAAATACATGTTAAGTATACTATATATACATACATATATAAATATATGTATACATATATGGAATGTACAATCACGTTGAGTATGTAAGTATTATTGCGTTAAAGAGACAGGCACAAACATATAAGTGTATAAATGTGTGTGTGTTGTTGAGTGAGTGTGTGCGTGTTTAAAATTAGGTCAGATTGTCGTTCAGTGAACGCCAGCAGACATCATTTAATTCCTAGGTACCGATCCCAAGCGGTGCCAGTCGCAGAGCTCCTGACGCAAATCATGCTTGGAGAGGTCCAACTCGAAGCCGCCAAGCAGCTCGTTCTCCTGCAGAGTATCATGTGACCAGACAGTCACCTGCAGTCGACGCTGTTGCACAATCTCCAGTGGCATGCGGTACTCCAACTGCAGATGACAACATAATATATATAGTAGACTAATCTTGAATTGTCCATAAAGACTATGACCCTTACCGTCTCCATGAAGCTGGGCACACAAGTTTTGCGCACAACTTTGGTTTTGCGCTTGGTCTCTTTAGTTGGATCCGGTTTCAGGTAGCATTTGACATAGGTGTTCGGCTCCTGGCCACCCTGCAGCATGGGCAGTCCTTTTGCGTGGTGTATCTGCAACAGAAGAACAGCGCATATTATATCAAGACCTTCGGCCACACTTGATTGGCTAACACACCATCACAGTTAACACGCCGCGTTGATATTGCAGCGATAGACGTATCTGGCCAATTTCGTTATGATTATCCCGCGACGGCTGACGTTTGACCTCTGCAAAGTAAAACAGTGGTTAATCGTGTTATAAATCGTGTCACAGCCATCTCAGCTTACCTCTTATCTTGGGCATCTCCAATTTGGCCTCCTGCTGGTCGCGCAGCAGCGGATGGAAGAATGTGTATACCAAATCGGAGTGCGCGATTTCTTCGGGTGCATCGAAAAGCGATTTCAAGAAACGCTGTATCAGAGGCAAGCGCTTCTCGGCCACAGATTTGATATTGGATCGACCCACATGGACTCCCGTTGGTAAGCTGTAAACAAGTAAAACAAGAAATGTTTAATATTTTGCGAGAGTAAATGAAGAACATAAAAAATAAGTTAAGTTTGAGCCGTGACTGATAATGACGAACATAAAACAAGGCGGGCATGTACAAAACCAATATACTCATTTTACTTTCGTGAATGAGTATAAAAATAAATCAAATATAGTGATTGCTCCATATTATTTATTTATTTTTTTTTTATTTTTATACTCATTACAATGAAGTATAAAAATAATCATGTTTCTTATCATTTTAAAATGCCATCAATTATCAAAATTATTGAAGCTATGATTTATTAATGAGAATAATTTAGTAGTGACTAAGGCTGTTACTAATAGCTAACGCACACAAATAATAGCTAATCACTTATAAGTTTAGACAAAGAAAAGGCCCCTGTTTCGATTTAACTTAAGTATAGCTCTACATAAATAAAGGTAAATTGCGAAACTACGAAAATCTAAGAAGTTTGTGAGCCTTGAAGAAAAGCAAGCAAGACAGACAACAATCCCATTAAAATTAGACGATTGCTTATCAATGGCCGTCGAGCGAGTGGCAAACTATTGTTAAGAGGTAACAAACTATAATGGCTGATAAATTAGCAGTTAGTTAGATATCTTTTATTCACGGCCAAAGCGTGCCGAATCAAAGTGCAGTGGGTGAAAGAAGAGCGAGCCACCAACGAGCCAGCGAACCAATGAGCCACCAAACCGCCAAACTATCAGCGAGCGGCAAAACAGTGGGAGCGAGGCGATATCTTTGCGATAACGTTGTGAGCGTTGGCAGTTGGCAAAAGTGCGACGACAACGCCGCTCAATCAGTTAGCGGGCGAACGGCAACAGCTGAGAACGGGGAGCTGCTTGCCGGAGCGACGATAGCTGAGCGTTAAGAGCTGCGAGCTGAGAGCCGAGCGCTCTGAGAGCTGCGACATTGGGGTTCGATTAACGCCAACGTGGTGAACAGAACCGAGCTGAAGACGAGGCAGCAGTGCTGCAAAAAGTTCATAAAAATCAGGTGTGCAGCTGCGATATGCTGGCCAAAAGCGAATAGCAGCGATGGCTCAGCTAACGTATGTGGGCCAAGGTAAGTTAGCAGCTACCTTCCATGAAGTCCAACCGCTTATCAAGACTTCTGCACAGGCCAGCAGGCGGCACTGGGTCCTTTGGCCAGCTCCATCATGCTCCTGATGAGTCTTGTTTTGGCGCTGCTCGGCATCAAAATATGGGGCTTTAGACGGCGCCTCACATTCGACAGCAACAGCAGCAGCAGCGGCCGATCGTCAACGCGCACAGCTCAGCAGCAGCCGCAAACTGCGCCACGTTATGCAGCCTACGAATCACAGGTGTGTAATATGTATGTACAATTCACACAATTTTAAAAATTGTCAATTATATCGATGCCTGATTCAGTGCAAGCCATTTATAAAGGTTAATAAGCAACTGATAAAATACTGAACGCCAACGAGCACTCGTGCTCTCTCGCTCACACTCTGATAAGATTCAAAGCCAGTGTATTCGTGTTTTGTTTATATACATATATATATGTGTGTGTGTGAGTGTTAAGTTGTCAATAAGAATAGAGATGAGAACGTGAGCGGCCTGAGTAGCCTATCGATAAGAGGGACCTTCATTTGATTACTAAATAATCCTAGCATATTATTATATATCGATAGATATTCTAAACGGCCCAAATCATAGCTTTTAAGATAACAATAAATGCTTTCAAGATAATAATTAAACTATTAATTAATTAACTCCACTAGGATCGACACATACTGATTCAATATTATTTTTTGAAAGCCCATCTCTAATTTGCATTTACGTCGGTACTTATTTGCAGCACCAACACACGCACAATAGTTTAGCTTTTACGTTCATGTGCATGTGTGTAACGCTTTTACAGTTAAGTTTATGACGCATTCCGAAATTGTTGTTATTATTGCACTCTTCTTGTTGTTGTTTGTGCAAGCATTAGGCGTGCACAGCTGAGGCCACAGCTGTTTTAATTGTTACACGAAAATCAAAATGAAGCAAATTTTTGATTGTAAGCGTTAGTTGCTCATTAATAAACCATAAGAATATTTTGATTGCACTTGCAGGTAAACGGCACAGACAACGCTGTGCACGGAGTGTTTCGCCAACGGAATACCGAAGAATTCGAAAGTGCCGGGCCAACAAATTCAACAGGTAAGGCGTACCAAGCACTTATACAAATACATA